AAACACGTCAGTTTTCAACAAATTCATTGTATTTATATGCAGATTTATTGACAGTTCGTAAACTTTACATATTGCACGTAGTTCTGAAAAAACATATGTCCTTTAATATTGACACCAATATTTCAGCTAAAAGAAGAAAAGGTAGAGTCGCCACACTAAATTACACCAAGATTAAATTTGCTCGCAATCAGTACAAAAACATCTCGTCTCATTTATATAATAAAATAAATAAAATACTAGATATATATCCTATGACTTATAGAAACTGTAAACTAAAACTCACTGAATGGCTGAAGACATTAGAATTTATTGAAGTTGAAAACCTGTTAAAATTAGAATTTTGATATAAGTATATTTATGTGTAAATCACTCATTCATTACATACATACACACATAACCTCCATGTACTTGTATACAGGGTAATTTTTAATTTACTGAAGACCTTTTGGGAATATATTATTTACATCATAACAACAACATCTGTAAGAAAAGAAATTATATTTCTTCAATTTTTATTTTCATACAAAAATAAAAATATTTTAATTGGACCTTCTAAACGGCAATAGTCCTAAATAGCAAAATAAAGCGCGGGGCGGGGTAGGGGTGGAGGGGTGTAGGAGGCGGCGCTTGCTCATTTGAACTTGACCTAATTATCTGTGTCGTCAGTCGGTCAGTCGCCTTTTGTGCGCTCGCGACTTTTCTCCTTCCGTTGTGAGATTAATATCGCGAATGTTACGCGTTGTTACAATGGCATACCGATACTCAAATATTGAGTATACCGAAATGGTGCGAATTTTAGCAATTTGCAATGATAACGTTAGTGAAGCCTGCCGTGAATATTCAAGGCGATTTCCCAACTCACGTGCACCGAGCTACGCTACGATGCTAGGTACTACACAGCGATTGCGAGATTACGGGCAATTCCAGCCTGTATCAATCGATCGTGGTCGTCCACCGCGGCGCACAGTACGTGAGCAGGAAGACATACTGCAGTTTTTTGAACGAAATCCAGCAGCGAGCACTTATGAGGCAGCCCGACAGTTCAATGTGTCACAGTACTACGCATGGAGTGTCATACACAATGAAGGGAAGTACCCTTTCCACTTGCATCGTGTTCATGAACTCAGCGAAGCTGACAAACCAGCGCGAGTTACATTTTGTAACTGGTTACTAGCTGCTGAACGAGCCAACATTTTATGGACTGATGAAGCAACATTTGGCAGAATAGGACTATTTAATTCGCACAATGAACACTTGTGGTGCTATGAAAATCCACATGAACCAAGACCGCATAGCTTTCAACACCGGTTTAGTGTCAATGTGTGGGCAGGCGTCATTAATACAACGTTACTGGGCCCGGTCTTCATAGAAAGATTAAACGGTGAAAGCTATCATAGTTTTCTCACCGACACGCTGCCAGAGTTGTTAGAGGACATACCACTTGCATCTCTACGCAATATGTATTACCAACTTGACGGGGCGCCGGCACACTATGCTCGCCAAGTTAAGGATTATTTAAACAGAGAATACCCTGGTCGCTGGGTCGGTCGAGACGGGCCTTGTGCATGGCCTCCCAGATCGCCAGATATCACACCAGTGGATTTTTATTTGTGGGGGCATGTAAAGACATTAGTGTATACTGGTCGAGCATTCGAAACCCGCGATATGTTGAAAGAAAAAATAATTTAGGCATTCGATCAAATCAAAATGAATCATCAAGTATTATCTCGTGTCGGTGAACAGTTAAGTTTTAGGTGTCACCTATGCATAGAATGTGAAGGTGATTATATTGACCGCTATGTGCGCGATACTCACCGTCATCCGCGGACAAGTACCTAGGTAAGTCTAATTTTTAAATTTGTATTTTAATATTTTTATTGAACCATTATACCTTAATATCTTTATTCAATTACTGTTAATTTGTATTTAATCATTATAAATATTTTATTGTAATATTTGTAATTATTTTAACCTGCATCCATTTTTTAAATACAACTTACATTAAATAAAAAAATAGTTAATAATACTCATTTAATTTGCACGTGCTGCAAACATCGATCACCAAATCGATGCCTGCAAACCGAAAAGGGCAGGCGGCGCCTTTGATGACGGTGACACCTGTGTCGACGTTATAATATATCGTTGGCTTGGCCTTGGGCCGCCGCATGTGCGACGTTGAGGCGTTGTCTCTAGGCAGAGTTGCTAGCAAACAGTATTCGTAAAAAACTACCTAAATGTCTATTAAAGAATGTCTATTAATTCTTAAAGAAATTAATAAAATAATCAAATAGTTCATCAAATGGTTTTATGCAAAATAAAGAAGTATATGAAAAGTCTATGTAAAGTCATTTAAAGTGGCGCCCTGGTGCAATAGGCACAGTGATGAATTGTTTAGTAGGCTCTCGCAACTAGGGTTACCATATCTCAGGATTTGTCCTGAGATTTCAGGATATTTAGACTCTTCTCAGGATTGCTGCTGGATTTTGCAAATCTCATGAAATCTCAGGATTTTTAGAACTTTCAATATAATACAGCTTACATTTTAAAAGATCTCTTAATAAAAAGTTAAACAAACTAAAAATAATTTTCCTTTGGTAATAATTCCACAATTAAAATCAAAACTTATTTATCCAAGTAGGTACTTAAACAGATTTATCATACTTAATATGTGAAAATACCTTTTTAAGTAAGGTTTTCTTCTCAAATTGTAAAACAATCTCAGGATTTTTAAATGGAAATCAGGCCTCTTCTCCGGACTTTTAATTTTTTCATCTGGTAACCCTACTCGCAACGCAATCAGCTGAACGCGGCCGATCGGCCCGGCGATTCTTACTTATTATAAATTTTAATATTTGTGGTTTTATTTTGAATGTCATTTGCTCATTTAATTATGTTTAATGATTTCAACACAATGTTTGATACTGTATCAAGTGTAAAAATGCCTTATTTAGGCATTTTATTTGACGATTTATTCTGACATTGTTTAGGTACTACAAAATACAGACTTAAAAGGAGTCAGACATGACAACAAAACCTTAAAAGTAGTTTTTTCGTAAATGTATTATATTCTGTGAAGAGTGATCTCACTAAAATTGTTTGTAATGATGTAACCAATATATTCCCAAAAGGTCTTCAGTAAATTAAAAATGACCCTGTATGTAACTACCAACTCTGCTCAGTGGGTTAACGCTGATCCCAAGACTTTTTATGTCGTAGGGCTGTGCAGAGGGAAAAGTATGAAAACTTTCACACAACACATTACACGCACATACACTACACACATATTACACACACACCACACATTAACTACACACACACACACACACACTACACATACTATTTTTACTTTCTTTAAATTTAGTACAAGCGGTTCTTGCTTTAGTAAATTGTATGATATAGAAGAGGGGCTTACTTCTGATACGGGCGCATTATGCGTTCAATAGAAGTCAACTATGGTATATGTATTTGTAAGACCGTGTTTATGAATAAAACCTTTATTTTTATTTTATTTTTTACAACAGGAGTTACCCTGAGGACTCTGTCCTCGTTGATTTTGTTGTCTTTGTCAAATCAAATGATGAAAGAAGGCAAATCGGCACGCGGGACATGATGTCTCTGTCCACACATATGAAGAGGTTCAATAAAGGCATTAAATATTTGCAATCTATGAATAAATACAAAATAGGCGTTCATTTTGAAAAGCCCTCTCTAGCGAATGCATTTTTAAATAATGTTACATTTCTTAATGAATACAAAATGAAGGCATCTATCCCAGCTGTAGGGACAGAAATAACAGAAGTCATAACTAATGTTCCCACTAATCTTTCTAATTCAAGAATTTTTGGTATGTTAACGACATACAGGAAGATAATGTGTTAAAAGGATAATGAGGATAAAATAGAATAGAATAGAATAATTTTTATTCAATATTGATTACTACATAATTCTTATTGAGTCATTTTTTATTTACCACTGGTTCATATGAGGAAACATAAGAATGACGCAGGACGCAGTTTGCTGCAGCCGACGGGCACCGTGGCCATCACGTTCGCTTTTAATATTTTGCCGGACCACGTCGATCTTAATGGTTGGCGGTTCGTGGTAAATCAGTATATTCCACCAGTGAAGCAGTGCTACAACTGTCTGAGGTATGACCACTTAGCAAAGTACTGTAAAAACTCTGTGAAATGCTCAATTTGTACTGAAAATCACAGCTACAAAGATTGCCAAGTCTCTTCAGCTAAAGCGATATGCATACATTGCAAAGGAAACGATCTAAGCATTTCTGAACAGGCGGACTGTTAAGAAACAAAAGATTAAAAAAAAATCAGGCTAAATTACACAAAACCCCGTTTGTAGACCTCTTTAATAAAAAAAGAATGATGACATTATTAATATAATTTTAAATACAGTCATTAAAGTATTAACTCTTAATAAATCAAATGAACAAACCACCATATCTTTTCAGCTTGTTAGAGATGTTCTCATAGATACAACGAAACCAAAATAGATATTTCATTATTTAACATTTAATATTTTATGGATCAGTTTAACATTTTTCAATGGAATGCACAAAGTTTAAATAAAAATCGCTTTCAATTTACACAATTTTTATATGAGAACACTATAGATGTTGCTCTCATATGTGAAACTTGGCTTAAACCACAAACTAGTAAGAAGTGCTAGCGCACAGACGACCGTCTTCCCTACTAAAAAAATGGCCAATAGAGAGCCTCAAGAATTGAAAGTGACATTTAGTTTTTTAAATTAATCTAAGGCAAAGACATGTATTTGCTTCAGCCTAAAAGCCCGTAGTAGAAATAGGATCCTCTCAGAACTTTGAAAATTTAACTTTATTGGTTTAAATTTATGTATGTGCTCACGATGTGAACATGTACATAAATTTAAACCAATAATAATTTAAATTTAGGTATAATGAATATAATTTAGGTGGAAATAAAATACAGAAATATTTGTTAACTATTTTATTTTTATATTTTAGTTTAAATTTAACAAGTGCTTTTTTTGTCATTGGCGGCAAATTCTTTCCTTCTAGACGCAAGACATCAGTTCCTTTTAAAATTTTATTTACTGTATAACACCAGTTGTAAACTGCGAGTCTGATTGTTAAGCCCAGAAAATATTCCACAGAAGGGTGCTCTTGGCAAGATAAGAAGTCAAATGAATATTTGGATACAATTTTTTCTTTAATATTTTTACTAATATTATTTTCTTGCGGATATAGCTCCAAATATTCACTTGACTCCTTAAAACTTAAGCCGAACATTGTCACTGCATGTTCAGCAGGATAAGTCATTTTTTTTAACTTTATTGCCTCATATTCCCTTATTGAAATCCATGAATGAATTTCTTCTTCATTTTGCACTGTAAAATTTGCCTTGCAGAGGCTGCAGTTATTTGTTTCCTTTAAAACTTTTCTAATGACCCATCCTGCTGTATATGCCTGAGAATAGACATTCAGTCTTTCTTGACGAGCAGCTGTTTGAATATTTTCTGGCCTACAACAATTAAAATTAATATTACTAGTGTCTAAAATCTTTTTGACGCACCCCCTGATATTTTTTCGAATAAATTTTTTAATTTTAGCAAAGGAGCTGCTTCATCATCCTCGCAGTTAAATGTAGGATTGTGGAACTTTATAAATCCAGTTATTAACAGTGTTTTAAAAGTGTTTGCAAAGGTGTAGCAATCTGGATCATTATTCCTAAAGTTATATGCGCGCACTTGGCCAAAGAAATTTTCGATTGGATCTGTGTTGAAATAACGTGGGCGCATAATCTTCACATTTTTTTGATTAAAGAATTGCCACAGCCTTTGCAAACTCTTTATAGTTACAATCCAATTTTTTATCGAAGGAACTGATGATTCTCTGCCACGAAGGTCTACAAATTTCATTTCATTTAATTTTTTTATAGCATCTTGCCAAAATGTGTGATGTTCTGATGTCGCTGTAACAGCTTTTCTTAAATTTTTACCTTTGTGGTATTTGTGGCTTGTGCTTGCCCCATTTACTGAATCAAATAACTTATCAAAAAGTAGAATGGTGGATGCAGTGTTCTTCAATGTTTGGCTCACCTTATTTCCATGAACATCATGAGCTAAAAAAATAATTTAAAGTTATTATTACAATATACCTAATTTCTAATTAAAATAATTTATATTTCAAACATGTTAAACTTACAAAAATTTGCAGCAAAATTCAAAGCTTGTGCTACTTTGTGGCTTAAAACTCTTACACAGTTTTTAACCTGAAACAAAATAAATTCATTTAAAAAATTAACAATAAGTTGATAAACTTTGTAAAGTAGCATTTTATCTACCATTGTGAGTATTGTAAAGGATTTTTAGATACAATCAGTCACCAAGGGCAAATTTTTCAATCGTCACATTGAAGTTATTCATAAAATAAAATACAACTTAGATAAATTGAGAATTATAGTTGAATATTCATTCAATAGTTCAATTGTTTTATTTTACGTCAGTTTGTAAACAACCTACTGATGTACTTGGCAGATAGGCATTCACATTATATTTCTTACCAAGAGTCTTGTACTTTTGTCTTTGCCCTCTGTGTTGATTAGTGTATTTATATTTGGTATACACACAATAGTTTACTATCATCCATAAGGGGCTAAAAATATTTTTTCGTATTACTCTTAGTCGCATCTTACAACACCAACAAATGACATTGAGTAATGTATTATCTTATACTACCACAACATGGCATAAAAAATGTCTGTCATGAGTAAATTTTTTTAACCGACTATAGTACAGACAATCCAATTTATCTGGAAATAATATAATAATAAAAATTCGCCATGTAGTGGCGGCGTAAGTGAATCCACTGCCATACAATTGAAAAATTTCCCCACATCATCTCGCAGAAGTAGCAACAGTTGGAAACTGTACAGGCACTGGACAACAGGATCTTTCTGTTTAACAAGTTCTGTTTTTTTAGTTATAATTATATTTATTTATATATTCCGTGAGATGAAAGTATTAAAGAAATATGCAACTGTTTCTCACCTTCATTTTTTTTATCTTCCCCAACATAACATGCTCATCATTTAGTTTAGGCAGCAGTTTTGTGTCTCCAATGGTATTGCAGTCCATTTTGTAGACATCAACTATGTCAGACCATTTTGAAATTTCTTCGCCAAATTTAATATTTTTTGTCAAAAAATTATTCCTTATGCCCTTTATGAGATGAGGAGGGTCAAAAATTATATTTAACTTATGGCCACTAATCTCAATTGCTTCATCTGAAAATAAAATTTATAGGTATTATAAAGTTATAATCAATTTCAGTTTTTCAAAAACTGAAAAGGTTCCCTCTAATATCAATTTGGCATTGAGAAGATATCTGGGCTGCAAGAAATGTTACGAAATGGTTTTTAACAGTCTTCAGGTTTGCTAGACAACCAAGAATGACAACTGACTGTATGTTTATGTTTTGTTTGCTAGATGTCCGATAAAGGCAAACTAGGCAGTTTTAGTAATTATAGAATGGTTTTTAATTTATAAAGAAATAAATGAAAATTATTATGGAAAAAAGAAAATATATGAAGAATCTGGCAGAGGGGACATTGTATTATAAATCTCCAGTCTAATCCAGTGAGAAAACAGAGTAATATATTTGTAGGTACAAAGCACTTCCTGAATATCTTCTTAAATCTTGTTCTATTCCTATTTTTACTTTTATTTCATTAAATTTAAATGAAAAAAGAAATCAATAAGGTATATGTACCTGTTCTATCTCCTGATAGTATTTGGTGTCTTCTTGTCTCTTCTTGAAAGCTTTTCAAGACTGCTTGGAATGCCGTTCCCTGGTCACAGCATAGAGCTACAGGAAGAAGACCTGTGCTTCCCACAGCTTCGACAATTTGTTGTATTATTTCTTTCATCTGCATAGCAGAAGTGGCACCTTTGCAGAAATAGTACGCAATTGGCTGTTGTGAACTGCTCCACGCAATAAGAAAACCAATGCATGATCTGCAAATTCATTGGTCCTATCCTTTAGTTCAACAAATCCATGTATTTTGTCTCTATTCTTGTCATATGTGAGACCTGCCTCTAATGCAACCTCATCAAAAAGAATCGAGCAAAATTTCCTAAGCTCAGGCCAAGTTTCAACCTGAAAAAAAAATTTGATTATTAGATTGAATATTATATTTCTATAATTGTAACATATAAGTTGGTGGAACTACAATTGCAAATCATGCACTTCCAAAATTTTGGTTATATTCAAAATAATTATTTAAGAATAACTTACCTCTAGCTTGAGAGCCTCAAATATCTTAAGATTAATTCCAGAAGTAACATCTAGGCTAGCTACCACTTTGTTTAAAGTGGTTTTGGATGGCAATATAAACATTTTTTGCAAAAACCTGTAACATTTCGGACTTTGCTTTAAAATGGATAGAGCAATTAATTTCTCTTCATCTGAAAATCGTCTCCCTTTTATATTTTTGTTTGCCTGTTTAATTTGCATCCAAAATAATTTTTGAGCCAATGGATTCATATTTTTAGTCATATTTAAAAAAGACTGGTCTTTAGAAAATTTAAGAGCCCTCTGGGTTCTTTTCCTGAAGTCTAGCTGTCGTCTTGACTTCCTGTATTCTTTGTACATCCTTCTACAATTTGGAGTAAGAGATGATATTTTCGGCAGTAACCGGCTTCTATGCTTCTTCTTTGGGGTAGATAACAATGGTTTGACTATGGAATCTGTAAAAATTAACAAATACTATGTACTGTAAGTATTAAATTAGTCAGAAATTAGAAATTATTCTGCAAGTGTAAGGGTAAGAAAAATATTTCATTTATGTAATATATACACTAGATCTGTCTGTATAAAATGTTATTGAGTGTAACACACAAAATATTCAGTCAAATAAATAAATCTACTTTCATATGACTTTACCTTCTCTCAAAATTTGTTGAGTGCCAACCTCCATCATTTCAACAGTTTCAGAAGTAGATTGAATCATGGGCATCTGAACACCTATAAATAAAAATAAAATATTAATGTAACACATTACATTAATGGGTAATGTAAGGTAATGCATTTACAAATTGCAATGATTCATTTTGTTAGTTTATGACCTTTTTGGAAATGGTATTGTACTACTAGTACTGTAAATAACTCTTACCTTCTAATATGTTCAGGTGAATCTGAGAGTTGCTGTCCATTGATCGAGAATATGTGTGATCCACATGTTTATTATTTTTGATATAATAAGAGTGGTCAATGGAAGGATCAACATATTCTGAAAAAATTAAAACATTTTAAAAATCAAGTTTAATATGACATTATTAATAAGATGTCATTGCTTGCCTGGTCTGTATTGCCTTTGAAAAAAGGGGAAAATTCAAGAAGATAAAAAAGTCCACTATGGCTGATTGGTTTTAAAGGAACTATATCCAAAAATATTAATCACTGTCGATGATAATAGGACTTGTTCTTTTATTATTTAAAGGTAACATCTATTAAACAAGAAACAAGAAATGTTTTAACACTATCAAATGAAAATAATGTTTTTGTAGTTATTAATATGGAGTTTTTTCTATTTAAATGAAACAATTAAACAAACTTGAGGTTTTTTTTAAAGAATAAGGGTAACAAACGAGCACACAGTCCACCTGATGGTAAGTGGTTACTGCAGCCCATAGACATCTACATCTATCCTCAATTATGAATCAAGATTCAGATGCGTTGTCAGCACTGAGGGCTAATATGGAATGCTTCATTTCCAGTAAAAAGGGTCTCCGGTTCTCTACACTCACCATACAAAACACAGCAGTGTTAAGCTGCTATTTAACGCTGGTATTCTAAGAGAGTGTGGTCGAGTCAACCAAATGGAATTATCTTCCTGCTTTAATTCACGAGGCTCAAACAGTGTCAGTGCTTAAAAGGCAAGTTAAAGAGCACTATCTTTCATCATTGTTCCAATGATTTAATGCAAGACTTGTGTGTATATGTATATAGGTATGTCACCATCATCACCATCATTACAGCCCTTCACAAGTCCACTGCTAAGCATAGGCCTACCCCAAAGAATGCCGCAAAGCACGGTCCTAAGCCACCTGCATCAATCGACTTCCTGCATATCTTACCAGGTCGTCACTCCATCTAGTGGGGACACACCCTACACTTCGTCTGCCGGTACGAGGCCGCCACTCGAGAACCTTTTTCCCCCATCGATTTTCGGTTCTTCGAGCTATATGGCCGGCCCATTGCCACTTCAGCTTACTAATTTGTTGGGCTATGTCGGTCACTCTGGTTCTACTGCGGATATTCTAATTTCTAAGTTTATCACGCAGAGAAACTCCGATCATAGCCCTCTCCATAGCTCGCTGAGCGACCTTGAGCTTCCTCATTCGGCCAGCAGTGAAGGACCACATCTCAGTTCCATAGGTCAGCACTGGCAACACGCACTGGTTGTTCAGTCTCGTTTTTAAGTTTTGAGGTGTACCTGACGAGAAGATGTGCCGTAATTTCCTAAATGCTGCCCTACCGAGTTGGACTATTTGTTCCAGGTAAACATACTCGTCAACAACTTCGAGCTTAGTGCTCCCAACAACTATATATATGTAACTTATTATCTATATTTTATATTGTGTATATCTTAAAATAATGATAATTTTTATATGAGTGCAGAATAAGTCTGCTTCTCTTTGAATTGTCCAGTATTGGCCTGCTGGAAGAAATTTCAGTGAAATAGGGAGTTTGTACAAAACATTGTTTTTGTTTTTACTTTGCTGAAACTTAACATTACTTTGTGGGTATATAAATTGTTAAATAAATAAATAAAAGAGATGAGATCAGGAAATCATATGTTAGGAAAAACCTAATGTATGTTTTGATTAACTGGTCTTTCAAATATTTTCAATTGAAATTATAACTATTCTGTGAGATATGCATAAGAACAAAACATACAAATTATAATGTATGTGTAAATGTATGATCCATATGGGTTAGCAAAGTAATTTATAAACTATGTTAGTAACATCATTAACTAATTATAATTAAATTAATTCATATACCTCTGCCCACTTCCCACTACACCAGACCCGCAGTAGTGCATACGAGTCCAGTGTTGCAGGAACGGGCAGTCTGGTTTCTTCACAATAAGGAAGAATTAAAATTTCATTAATAAATGAATGAAAAATTGAATATTACTCACTGCTGTCTTCGTATACTCTTAACGAAACCCCAGTCGTCATTTCATCTTCCGTAAACAACGTGGGATATGCATTACGCTGAAGACGAGATGTTTCAGAGTTAATGAATCGCAACTCAAAGTGTTTATGGCACACATACAACTTATAAAGTTCTTGAACACTTAAACTATTTAAATTGTCACTATTTATACATTTTAACCACTTATGGAGTCCTATCTCTGATATTGGAAACTTATGTAATTTAACGTCCTTGCGTCTACTACCACAACTTTCAATACAGCACGTATTAAACATTATGAAAATATTAGGTATTATTACAGTTTCAAATTGAGGGGGTTGGCGGAATTCAATCAACGCAACAACACTACACACAACAACAAACGAAACTGTAATGGCAAACAACAATGGCGTCGGTCGGCGCCTGCCGCGTCACGTGGGCAGGCAGAAACGTCAACCTAAGTCAATGCTGTCAAAATCAATTCTTGAGGGCCATAGACATAAGGCTAGGAATATTTATATAGAGATTACCACCCGTGGCTTAAACCTAGGCACAATTTTAGAGTAAAAGGTTATAATATTATACGATTAGATTCGGGTAATGATCATAATGGAGTAGCAATACTTCTACATAACAAAATTGGATTTCGTGTTATCAATACATTCTCTGATGACTACACACACACAATATAATGATAAATTATTAACTTTAGTTAGTGTTTACTGTCTCCCTAATTCACCAATTAATTATAATAAATCCAAATTAGATAATTTAATCCAAAGTTTGCCACAGCCAGTCTTTATAACTGGAGATTTCAACGCCATTCACACGTTATGGGAATGTACTGAATTGGATTCACGAGGTAGGGTAGTTCTTGCAAGTATAGATGACAACAATCTTGTAATCTTGAATGATGGTTGGTTGGTGGTGATGGTGACTACAGTAGGATCTCATAGATGGAGGCAGAATGCATTAGACTTGACACTTGTTTCATCTTCACTGGCTCTGTCTTGTGAGTGGCAAGTATGTGATGATGATTCTCTAGGCAGCTATCATTTTCCTGTAAAGACAAAAATTACGGTCAATAATCAAAATTTTCAAGAAACAGCTGTATCAAATAACATAAAGTTAAAATTGGTAGATTGGTCAAAATATCCAAATTTAATAGATAATTTAATTAAAAATTATAGTTTTGATTATAGTAATCCTTGATGGTGAAGTCCATATTTGACAAATGTTCGTTTATTGAACAGAGTTTCAAAAAATAACTTTTGAACGTTTTGACAATACTTGTTTTGTTGAACAAAACTCTTGACAAACAATCGACGGATTGTTGTCCAGTACTTTACACTTTCAGGATTGCAATTTCGAGCACGTTTGCCTTTGGCCATCCAATTTCGCTTTTGCCACTGTTACATGAAGTTATCAAAAGGTAGGCTTGTCGCTTGCCAACTTAATTACACAAAATATGAGAATACATTATTGCCAACTTTGACTATATATAAAACAAAGTAAAGTGTGAAGTAGGATAGGATCAAGGTTGGGTTATGTGAGGTCAGCTGTCAATTGATCAATTCTCAACACTCCTCCTTGATCAATTTACAGCGGAGCGTCTCAAAGATTCTTCTGTTGAGTGGCTTGGTGAGAATGTCTGCAATCTGCTTGCTTCTTTAAACATGTTGCAGTGTCACAGTGTTGCCGACGTGTTGCTGGATGTGCTTTCGTGGTATCTCAATGTGTTTCTTTCCTCTGGTCGTCTTTCCTTCGTGTGCATTCTGTAACATGTGTATGGCTGACATGTTGTCGACCTTCAGAGTGATCGGCTGATCACTTTCCAGGATACCAAGTTCCAGTGCGATTCGTTTGATCCAGCATACATCGTCAATCACTGACACCGCAGCTGTGTACTCGGCTTCTGCAGTTGACGTCGCTACTAGACGCTGCTTTTGTGAGTACCAGACTACTGGTCCTCCTCTCATCACTAAAACTCCACTCGTCGACTGCCCTGTCTCAGAATCCCCTGCAAAGTCTGAATTAGTGTAGGCCACGAGTTCTTTGTCTCCTCCGAAGTGGATTCCTGCTGTTGCTGTCCCTCTCAAGTACTGGAACACACGTTTCACCATCGCCTGATGGTTTTTCATGGGCTTGTTGCAGAATCGACTGAGATAGTTCACGGCGAAGCTGATGTCTGGCCGGGTGATTGTAGTTAAGTACAATAAACTCCCTATCGCCTCGCGATAGTTGTTGTTCGCCGTTGCTTTTCGCCATCCTATTTCGCTTTTGTCACTGTTACATGAAGTTATCAAAAGGTAGGCATGTCGCTTGCCAACTTAATTACACAAAATATGAGAATACATTATTGCCAACTTTGACTATATATAAAACAAAGTAAAGTGTGAAGTAGGATAGGATCAAGGTTGGGTTATGTCAGGTCAGCTGTCAATTGATCAATTCTCAATAGTTATACAGATTTAATAGAATCAGTTTGGAATCAGTCTTCTAATCGAAATGTTAACATCAACTTGCAATCTCTTCAAAAAAAAATTCTCTACCTTGGTGGAATTTAAAATGCAAAGAGGCAGTATCAAATTGTAAAAATGCATATTTAGCATTTAAGAATGATCCCACAGAACGAAATTATATTAATTTTAAAAGACTACAAGCTGATAAAAAAAATTACTTTGAAGTTTGAAAGACAGCTTAGCTGGAAAATACTATGTGAAACTTTTAATAGATCTACTCCATTGACTAGAGTATGGAATTACATTAAAAAGTTTAACAAAACTTTTGTTCATAATAACACATCAGTCATAGATTCTAATTGGGCTAATGATTTTTTGAAAAAATATACTCCAGAAACAGATGATTCACCTTTAACTCCTCACTCCTGAAATGATAATCATTGTGATTATCTTACCAAACCTTTTACCTTGACCGAATTCAATTCAGCTGTTATCTCTAGAAAGGACACTACTTGTGGTTTAGATTCTGTTCTATATAAAGCTTTAAAAAATATGAATACTGCGTGTAGAGAACTAGTTTTGAAAATATATAATATGTTATGGTTTCATTCACTTATTCCTAACGATTGGAAAGAAGATTGTTTGATACCCATTTTAAAGCCTGGAAAAAACCTTACATTGCAGAATCTTACAGACCTATAGCACTTACATCTTGTATGGGTAAAATATTTGAGCAACTTATAAAATCTAGATTAGAATTTTATCTAGAAAAAAAAAATGTCTTTTACCATCAAATCAGTTTGGATTCAGACGCCGTAAGTCATCTAGAGAAAGTATTGCATTTCTTCATTTAGACATCTTTAAAGCTATGGAAAATAATGAAATATTAATTAGTATATTCTTTGATATTGTTGGTGCATTTAATAACGTTAATCTTCATGTACTCGCCGCAGAGTTGAGGTCTGTGGGCATTCCTGAAAAAAATTTAAAATGTATATTTAACTTTTTAGATGAAAGAAGAGTTTTTGTTAAAGTAATAATAATAATAATATAATTATTAGTCCTCGGCTCAGTTATAAAGGTTTTTGTCAAGGAGGAATATTAAGTCCTATTGTCTTTATTTTATACATATTTAAATTATATAATATTTTAGGATCAAATGTTACTAATTTACAATATGCAGATGATTTGGTCATATATGCCTCAGGAACAAATGTTAAAAACTTGGTAACCATTTTAAATGAGGCTTTAAAGAAATTGCACATTTACTTTTCACACTTAAATTTAGATATTAATATTAAGAAAAGTAGAGTTGTAATATTTAATAAAATTCGTCCATTTAACACTGGAATAATTTATAATAATACATTTTTACCAATAGAAAGTTGTGCAAAATTCATAGGTGTAATTTTTACAAATAATTTATCTTGGACCAAATACGTGAATTCTATTTCAGACAGAGCTTCTAAGGCCTTTAATGTATTAAAAGCTTTGGCTAGTACTAACTGGGGAGGTCATCCAGAAATACTATTAATGTTATATAAGTCTTTGGTGAGGAGCCATTTTGAGTATGGCTTTCTTTGTTTTGCATCAAATAAAAAACTAGTAAACAAATTAGATATAGAAGAACTCCTATTGTTTCTTTACAGGCTGAATGTCTTACTCCTCCTATCTTACTTAGGTTTAAATATCTGAAATTTAGATTTTTATAAAATATTAATTCTTTGTCTCATCATCCTCTTTTTCAAACTCCTCCTTTCAAAGTCTCCTATATCTAACTCAGCTTATATATACTCCATGACTTTCATGAAGTGATACAATATGATGAACAATATAATATTCACAAAAGCACACATACTTGGCCTTGTTATAAGGGGAATTATGAAAGTAAATTCAGTGATATACACATAAATATTGATGAAAAATTTAAAGGAAAGAAGAGGTTTATGAACTTATATCTACATATGATGAATATCGACAAATTTACACAGATGGTTCAAAAGTTGAAAATAAAGTAGCCTGTGCATTTTACATACCTCATCTGAAAACTGGACGTGGCCTTTCCATTCCTGCATCAGCAAGCATATACACTGCAGAATGTTATGCTGTCTTAATCGCTCTTAAATATATAGAAGAACACCCACATGTGTCTAATAAATGGTCACTGATCTCATGCATGAGTGTCTTGAAGGCACTGAAGGCAAGAACTTTAGATGCTAAAACGTCTTTCATTATATATGAAATCAAAAGTTTGTGGTGGAAATTGAAAGAAAATAATTTGGTAGTAAAATTTTTATGGACTCCGTCACATATTAGTGTTCAAGGAAATGAAAGCGCAGACCATTTAGCTAAAAGTATAGTTACAGCTGATATTGACAGGATAACCGGTGTTGCAATACCACATACAGATTTATATTCAATTTTAAAGCAACAGTTCAAAGAAGAATGGAAAATGAAATGGAATGCTGTTTTAGAGGCAGAAAAAGGTCGTTGGTATGCATCAATTAATTTAGAATTAAGTATTCCTTGGTTTTCTCGCAACGCGAGATACTATAGCAGAAATTTTTTTACAATAAAAGACTTAGATTTGGCCACTATCGACTGAACGCTCATCTTTCTAGGATGAGAATAGTAGCATCTGCAACATGCAACTTCTGCGATACAGAAGCAGATCAGATTGCAGAACATATAATACTTAACTGCCCAGCGTACGCCATAGAAAGATTGCTACTCATTGAAAAACTTATACAAATTTATGAAAACACAGAAAGCGTCCCGCGTGCCTTGCAAGATGTTCTTAGGAATACTAAGACATAATTAGCACTTTGTAATTTTATTCATAATACTGTAAAAGAAATATGAAATATGGTATCTCCGTTTTTGAAAATATTGGATTGACAAATCTACATGGATTGAAAGTTACAAAGATTATAATATAAGGAAGACTTGGCTTTAGCCTTTACGGTTTTTGAAAATATGAAGAATTAAAGAAAATAAGACTAGGCTTCGGCCTTTATGGATTTTGAAGAGATGGAAAGAAGAAAAATAAGACTTGGTTCCGGCTTTTGCACTTTAAAATTCTATATATTATTTAAAATAAAACGACAAGGCTGTATGACTTAGTTCCTTTGGCAGCTCTCTCGAGCGAATAATAAAAACAACAACTAATATTGTGGTTGACACTTGACACTAAACTTGACAGCAGCAGTACTGATGTGACGAGTTGGATTTTTTTTGACTCGAGTTGCTAGAGTTCATATGGCTACTGACTCGAATCGTAACTCGAGTTGACTCGAATCGATGTCTGCTGTAGGGAAAGAGAGGCGACTCGGCCGACTCGGGGACCACGAGTCAGCTCGAGCTCGAGACTCACGAGCGGATCGCTAACGGTCAATCAACTAATAAAATTAAACAACAAAATGTCAATGGTTTAGTTTTTAAATAATTGCTTAATTTATATTATAGCAAGTTATAGTTATAAATAGTAGTAGTTATAAATAAAATAAACGAAATAAATATAAAAGAAAAAAATGTCAATCAAAATAAACATTCAACGCAGTTTTTCATTCGCGCAATTCCGTTTCCGTTCCGATCCTGGCCGAGCGAGCCCGACTCAACCCGAGTTCTATAATCTATTCGAGTCGATACGAGATAGCTTGCTACATATATATTTATCTATGGATACGAGTACGATGCAACACCTTACGAACGGCGCGCGCGCGTGTGTATCGTAACATAATAAATAAATGGAAGTCACATACAGAGATGTTGTGTTCGAAACTTAATCAATATTCATATGCGATCTACATGTTGTCCAAAACTGCCAGTACATCCACAGTTTTAATGGCTTACCATGGACATGTTACTCCTCTTTTAATGTATGGTGTTATGTTTTGGGGCAACTCTGTAGGAAAAGAGTTGGTCTTTAGAGCGCAAAAGAGATGCGTTCGGGCTATATATAGAATGAAACAAACCGAGAGCTGCAGGTCGATATTTCCAAAAGTTAAAATATTGACACTACCGTGTATTTATATACTGGATATGGTACTATTTGTAAGAAATAATAGTAACTTATTTGTTAAATTAAAAAGCAAGAGATACCCTTTCCAAATAAGCTTCATGTCTAACAAAACTAAACTTTTAAACAGCAGTGTATTTTGTATGATTCCTAGAGTGTATAATCATTTACCCAACTCTCTGCTTGAAATTTCAAATAATAATTTATTTAAAAAAAAAGTGAAGACACTACTTTTAGAAAAATCATATTATTCGGTAAGGGAATTTCTTGAAGACAATTTATTAGATGTAGTATTGTAACTGGCTTAGTGGTACTGTGATATTAATTAGACATTTTATGTGACATTTATTTTACAAAGTTGATATTAATTAGGTAATCTCATTTGACATTATTTTTAATAATTATTTCGACACTGTAATTTGATATGTAATAATTTTAATTTAAACTATAGCATGTAATTGAGAATTTTTGCATGGCATGAGCCTAAATATGGCGATCAACAATGTAAACTGACCACTGTAACACCATCTGTACCCATATTGCGCAAATAAAGAATTAAATTGAAATAAAATTGAAAAATTGAAAATAATTCACTCAACTCGAGTTGATGCGAGTTGCAACGCCTAACGAACCGCGCGCGCGAGCCGCGTGTGTAACTCGGAACAACTCGCGTGTGTAACTCGGAACACCGCGTATAACTTTAACGTCCGGTTTGCGTTCGGACGACCGAGTTGATTCGAGTTGCTTAAAACTGAACTCGAGTAGACTCGTTTAAGGTTTGATTCGAGTTACTCGAGTCAAATAACTCGAGTCGCACACCGCTAAGCAGCAGCACTGAGTTTGACTTTGACAGCACCAGCAGTGTCAGGTGAGTCATCGTTCGACGTTAGTTTCGTTGGCTCAAGTTTTGGTTTGGTGTTTGGTTTGGTGAACTGAATTGAGGTTGGGGCTGACTACGCAGTTCACAGAACTTAAATTTTTAACGTGATCATTTTTTTACTTTTTACATGAATGATAGTTTTTAGACTGGAAAGGAGATCTCGATAATCCTAGAATGTTCTAATTTAGCTCTAAGTTTTTTGTAGATTGTTATTAACGAACAGCCAATAAAATTTTGTTTAGCTGGAAACGTATTCATTATATTCTTTTCTTATGGATCTGTTTAAGCACGGTACGTAAATTTCATCTTATAATCCATTTGTCCATAACTTAATCATGTACAGCACGCATGTGTTTAAATATATTGTAAGTTATAGAACCTTTGTGCGTTATTACTGCACGACTAATCAAGGTCGTTCTTTTCCGTACCTGGTACTTCATGCGATTGCTAATACAACACAATAACACGCGAAGCGCTGTGCTTAATTGTACGTCAGTGGGTGGATCTTATATTATCAGTGCTTATCACAGTATGAGTTTTATTCATTTAGTTATTGTCCTATACGCCAGTTTATTTTTGATAGCAAAGCTGTTAAGGCATTTTTTTCCTGTTTCTTGTATCTTATACTCTACATTAATTTATAATTACAAAATTATTAAGGTTTGTTTGAAGATTATTTCAAATACATGTTTTTATTTTATTTATTTCTACTCTATGATATTTTACTATCTACTACTAAATAAGTAACATAAAAGAGCCCTTTACATACATAATTGTAAACTAAAGTTTTATTAATTTATTTTTATGTGTGATTTTAATGGCAGGTATGAAGGGTCCAACAAGGCCAGCTCCATCTGTGCCTGTACTGAATGGTGTGAATCGTTATTCACCGGTTACAAACTGGAATGATGATCCTTTTGGGGCAGATGTTTTTGAACCATCTCCTCAGTATGCACAAAAGAAGAAGCCACCACCACGGCCACCACCACCGAAGCTTTCTAGACAACCTGATATCCCAGCAAAGCCTTCCCATTTCATAAGAAAGCCCACAGTCCTATCATCACTCTTATCACGTAGCAAAGCTGCAGTAAATCAACAAAATACTAGTGTTAAGCAACAGACTATGTTAACCGAAATAAATAGTGAAGTGGATACAAGTAAAATGTTTCCTAAGTGTGAAACCCGGAATGTGCAAACAGGGGCTCTGATTGATCTGTCTTCACCGCCCAGTTCACCAACATTTACAACACGGTCAAGTAGTGATGGGCTTAGTGTAGATAGCTTTGGTTCAGATGCTACCACTTCTACAAACCAACACAATCTTCTCAATAGTGGTAATGTGTCACAGCCTGAGAGTGGCTTTGAAGATGATTTTGATTTATTTTTAAACAATAGAAAACATATAAACAAAGAAGATACTTTAGACGATTTGGCTTCAGTGGACCCTTTTTCACCACAGCCTGTACTGCAAAAGCCCTCCATCAGGAAGAGACCGGTTTTATGTACAGTTCCATTTGATTTAACAAGTAATACTCAGACTACTTATCCAGTATTGAATGGCCCTACGATAATACGTGCAAAACCAGCAAGACCTAAGCCACCAGAGAATTCTGCAATTCTGAAAAGTACATTTGGAAGCAGTTTACCTATCACTTCAATGAATGTGAACACAACAGTGCCTATTCAGAAAATCAGTAGTGGATTTGGAGACAGTTTTGTAAGTTTTTTTTTTTTTATATTTAGATATAATTTTATTTCATTTTCATCATTATTACAACTCTTCACAGGTCCACTGCTGAAAGTAGGCCTCTGCCATTGGTTGCCTCATAGAGGGGATAAGATTGGCAATTTGATAGGTTCTTCAATTGATTTGTTGTTTTAGGTACTAAAAAATCAATTCCTTAATGTGGAATAATAAGATCTTGGATCAACATGCTTCAAAACTAAAAAAAAATATAGATTCTCATAATAAGCCCTAGGGTATGCATTTTTGTACATCAACCAAATCACTAATGAAATTGTGCTGCAGGATATTTATAATTCAAATTAACCTCAAAAATTAAAACAAAATTTCTTGTGGGCTTAAATCCGTTACAAAATTGTATGTCAAGATATGAAAGCCAACTAAAATTAAATATTCTAAGTATATAATAATGTATTAATGGTGTAAATTCTCATTTCTAAATGTCTCACTATCGAGGCAATAACAAGTAGATATGATAATTAGTATAAATCTAAATAAAAGTTTATTGAACATACAGTGGCATGATTACACAGCAAGGACCTTGTGAGCCAGAGGTTGAATTATTTTTTGAAATAAGAAATACAAGTAAGCTCGAGTTGCTTGTGATAGTAATAATTTTCAAGAGTAGTTGAATTTTAACGGTGGTAGAGCCTTGCAGCAGCTTTTGCTGTTGCACGTATGGGCCGGCTCGAGCCGGGTTAGTACCACGACCTCACAGAATACCGGCGTGAAGTGGAAGCTCTGCTTCCGCGTTTCGTCTGGTGAGTGCAGGTGACCGGATGCCCAATTCCCCCCCCCCCCATCAACATGGTAGCGGAATTACGTCATAAACTACCCCAGGAGGGTACCAGTACCCCTGGAGAATCCCTCGCTGAGCATCCACGACCATGCTATTCCACTCCTGAGCGTGGGTGCTCAGGCTGCCCCGCGTATTCTGGGGGGGGGGCAAAATTCCGCTCAACACAATAACTGCTCGGGGCAAACTGAGCAACAAGACCAAGGCGACCCCTGCCACGCTATCCGTGAATTTCTGCAACATCAGGGGACTTCACTCGAACCTAAACGCCGTCCACTACCATCTTGAGACGGCGAAGCCGGCCTTGCTCTTTCTGACCGAGACGCAGGTGTCCTCTCCGGCTGATACTTCGTATCTCTCCTACCCGGGGTACAAATTGGAGCACTCCTTTGTGCCTCGGGCTGGAGTTTGCGTGTATGTCAGAGAGGACATCTGTTCTCGACGCCTCGGCAGTCTTGAAGGTTCGGACCTGTCCATCCTTTGGCTACGCGTAGACAGCGACGACCATCCGCGCGTCTACGTGTGCCTCTATAGGTCCCATAGCGGTAATGCCGAAACAGACTGACTCATCGACCACGTCCAAATGGCTACAGATTCCTTGCTACAACAGGTCCCATCCGCAGAGATCGTGATCCTTGGCGATTTTAACGCCCACCACGCCGAATGGCTCGGTTCACGTTTAACCGATCATGCGCGGAGATCTGTTTATGACTTTGCCTTGGCATATGGTCTGACACAACTGGTTACATCGCCTACGCGGATTCCAGATGTTGAGGATCATACACCTTCCCTGTTGGACCTTTTGCTGACCTCTCACCCGGACGGATATCAGGTTTCCGTCGATGCCCCTCTTGGCTCTTCGGACCATTGTCTGATCCGGAGTGTGGTGCCACTCACGCTCCCCTCGCGGTTGCGTTCTGCAGGTTGCCGCCGTGTTTGGCATTACAGGTCGGCGGATTGGGACGGAATGCGGTCTTTCTTTGCTTCCTACCCATGGGGGCGGGTTTGCTTCTCGCCGGATGATCCCAGCGCTGTTGCTGACTCTGTCACTGATGTAGTGCTACAGGGAATGGAACTATTTATTCCATCATCTGTGGTACCCATCGGAGGCAGATCTCAGCCTTGGTTTGGTCGCTCCTGTAAGACTGCATTACGCAGTAAGCAGGAGTGTTATCAAGCCTGGGCTGCGGCTTCGGTGACTCGGGATGTAAACACCAGCACACTCAAAAAGAAGTATAACTTCGCCTCCAGGTCCTTCAAAAGAGTTATTGCCAAGGCAAAGTCAGAGCACATAGGCAGAATTGGCGAGAAACTAGTTCGCCTTCCTTCGGGAACCCGTGCATTCTGGTCTCTCGCCAAGGCTGTCCAAGGGAATTTCTGTAAGCCATCACTACCATCTCTGCACAGGGAGGACGACTCACTGGCCCACGACGCAAAAGAGAAGGCCGACCTTTTAGGCTCCCTTTTTGCGTCCAACTCGACTGTTGATGACGGGGGGAACACACCGCCGACCATCCCGCGGTGTGAGTGCTCCATGCCGGATGTGCGATTCTCACAGCGCTCGGTTCGCAGAGCACTCCTCTCCCTTGACATCCACAAGTCGAGTGGGCCTGACGGAATCCCCCCAATTGTGCTGAGGACGTGTGCTCCGGAGTTGGCACCGGTTCTAACGCGTCTTTTCCGGTACTCCTACTCCCTAGGCGTAGTCCCAAAATCATGGAAGACAGCTTTTGTCCACCCGATCCCTAAAAAAGGCGACCGCTCAGATCCGTCCAACTACAGGCCTATCGCCATCACCCCCTTGTTCTCCAAAATAATGGAATCCGTTGTAAACTGCCACCTCATGCGGTACCTTGAGGATCACCAGCTGATTAGTGACCGCCAGTACGGTTTTCGTCGGGGTCGATCAGCTGGTGATCTTCTGGTCTACTTAACTCATAGATGGGCGTTGGCAGTAGAGTCCAAGGGGGAGGCATTGGCCGTTAGTTTGGACATTGCGAAGGCCTTCGATCGGGTTTGGCACAAAGCGCTTCTTTCGAAGCTCCCTTCCTATGGGCTTCCCGAGAAATTATGCAATTGGATCACCAGCTTTCTTGCAGATCGGAGCATCAAGGTCGTTGTAGACGGTGCATGCTCCGACTACAAGCCTATTAACGCTGGTGTTCCACAAGGCTGCGTGCTATCACCAACGCTGTTTCTTCTGCATATCAATGATATGTTGCAAGCTGGTAGCATTCATTGCTATGCAGATGACAGCACTGGTGATGCTCTATACACCGGCCGTGCCAATATTTCTCGGGAAAACGTCACCGAGTACCGGAACAAACTTGTGTCTGAAGTCGAGTCTTTGCTGGACAAAGTCTCGGATTGGGGGCGACTAAATCTAGTCCAGTTTAATCCTCAGAAGACACAAGTTTGCGCGTTTACCGCTAAAAAGAACCCCTTTGTCGTATCTCCTCAGTTTCAAGGTACTCCCCTTGTTGCCTCAGCCAGTATCGGAATCCTCGGCGTCGACATATCGAGTAGCGTGCAGTTTCGTGGTCACTTGGAAGAGAAGGCCAAATTGGCCTCTAAAAAGCTTGGCGTGCTCAGCAGAGCGGGACAGTATTTCATGCCGGCTCAACGCCTGCAACTTTACAAGGCGCAGGTTCGGCCTCACATGGAATACTGTTCCCATCTCTGGGCTGGGGCTCCCCAGTGCCAGCTTCTTCCACTTGACCGCATCCAGCGCAGAGCGGCTCGAATCGTCGACGACCGAGTCCTTTCCGATCGGCTCGACTCATTGGCACTGCGAAGAGATGTTGCATCTCTTAGCATTTTCTTTCGCATTTACCATGGGGAGTGCTCTGAGGAATTGTTCGGATTAATCCCAGCCGCCAAATTTCACGAACGCACATCGCGGCAGAACTCCCGATACAATCCACACCATCTGGATGATTGGCGGTCCACCACTGTGCGATTTAGAAGATGTTTTCTTCCTCGCACAACTTCCTTGTGGAATAGTTTACCACCAGCGATTTTTCCGGACCGATACGACTTAGGGACCTTCAAGAAAAGAGCCTACTCCTTTTTAAAAGGCCGGCAACGCATCTGCAATTCCCCTGGTGTTGCGGTTGTTCATGGGCGGCGGTAGTCACTTACCATCAGGTGAGCCGCATGCTCGTTTGCCCCCTCTCCTATAAAAAAAAAAATGGCAAATTCGAACCTATTACTTGAGTTTATGGTCTTTATCCTACCAAGGCAACTTTTGTTTTAAAATAGATTACTTCTATGAGTGCTTAACTCTTATTTATCGCATGAATAATCAATGGTACTCTAAATGAAATTGTTGGTTCTACAAGCTGTTTGCCTGCCCTCTTACTATTTTAGTATACTGATCCACTGGCCTATATTAATACTGCAACTGAAAATATTTTAATTGAGGATTCTAGTATACACAGGAACTCAGAGTAAACTCTTTCCATAGCTTGCTAGTGAATCCTCAGAGAGAAAATGTATTTTGATCAAAATTGAACTTAACTAGCCAGACAATTTACATACATATATGGGCTAAAGTCATGATATGACTTGTCCATATTCTTCCTGAGACTAAGTCTCCAAATGAATGGTCTAGTGCTAAGGTTCTCAAGCATATCTGCTATAGTATTATACACTGTGCAATACCGCTTCAAGTCTGTAAACTGACGTTTTATGTACTTAAAGTGCCTTTACGATGCAGTAGAAGTCCCCAATGTGGGATATGAGGCGACTTTGGGGACGATCAGAGACATGTCATGGCCCACCCTAGATAATGGTTTACCATCTCATTTGTATATGCCACTATTAGGGCAGCAGCATCAAAAGTCTGGGACATCTGGTACTGTGATCACCAAACTATCGACCAACCATGGAGACTAAGGCAAATCCTACCAACAGGCAGGGCAGGGTAGTTACAGGCTGATTAAAAAGAAATGCTACTGTTTTGTTTTAATTTTAATTGAAAGTTTTTATAATAATAATAATATAGTTTGAAGGGCCCCGAAACACAGAATAAATAATAGTACTACATACAGAAGTTGCACTCCTTTGATACTGACTGCTTGCCAACGTTTTAATAGCCTACATAATTATTATTAATAAGAAAAATCGCGCACGTAAGCTAAATAAAACTTTATCGCTGTGCGTGAGTGTTTTTTTTTATATAGGATAGGGTGACAAACAAGCACACAGTCCAACTGATGGTAAGTGGTTGCTGTGACCCATAGACATGTACATCTATCCTCGATAAAGAATCAAAATGCAGATGCGTTGTCACCCGTGAGGACTAAGATGGAATGCCTCTTTTCCAGTAAAAAGGGTCTCCGGTTCTCTACACTCACCATACGAAACACAGCAGTGTTAAACTGCTATTTTACGCTGGTATTCTGTGAGAGTGTGGTCCTTCCCCGGTCGAGCCGACCCATTCGTGCTACAACTACACTGCTAATATAGCTGCAGCATGGCTCTACCACGTTAACTTTGCATCTTTTTCCCTTCCGACGAGATCACGGCGGACTTTCCGTGGTTATTAAGGACTGTTAATAAAGAGTAAAAAAATACATTGTGAAATGGTAAATAAGTTATAACTTGGAAGGCCATTCGTCGGGAATGGCGATATTTGGCTCGGAAGAAATAGGTAGATAGTGTAAACAACAAATAAACCCGAAATACGTTTCCTAACAGAAATGTGATCGTATTCTACTTAGTTAAAAGTCTTCGAAACAAAGTTTGAATTTCAGTATTTTAATTACAAAAGAAAAGTATTGGTATGTAAGTAGGTATTTGGATAGTGAAGTAAATTTCAACTAAGTTTTGTAAGAAAGTACTTAGGTAAGTATTACTTCTCTAGTTAAATTTTTAATTCATTCTTTTTCCGTTATTTAAGTACCTATCTGACCAAAAAATGAAATAAATTCTTCGGTAACTTAAAAAATGATATATCTGAATCCTTTTCTTTGCTCATTAAGCATCCATCTATGCAACAATTATAGTAGGAACGACGTTTTGCCATTATAATTTATCAAATACATACCTAATATATATTTACTTAGCCCAACCAAATGAGAATACTATATAAATACCCCATAATAGCTTCCATCCGGTTGGGTTTTTATTTATTTATGTGTTTTTTATGTATTTATTTTATTTTGTTGATATTTATGTATGTTTATCATTTTCATTTACAATTATATATTTATACAGCCCAACTAGATGAGAAAACTATATAGATACCCCTCATAATAATAATATAATGATTTATTAATAATAATAATTGATGAAATAGTGTAATTGTAATGTAATATTGATAGTAATGTGGTAGTAATGCAGCGAACGTTATTTTTCAGAGATTTAATGTCTCATTACCTGTATAATTAACAAATAAAAATGAATTTAAATTTGAGGATTTAAAAGCTTGAAATAAATGGTGTAAATTATATAGGTACTATTGTACAGACCGGCGTACCACAGAGATCCATTCTTGGACATTTTTTATTTCTTGAATATATAAATAATCTACCATTTTTCGTTCAAAATCTTACCGACATTGTATTGTATGCATATAATAACTTCACTCAAATTTAAGGTGAACTGGAAAACTGAGAACTTTTGTCACTTGCATAAGATTTTAGGTTAGTTTTATAATTTGCGCACCCGTTATTCATTAAATAATAATTTAAAGACATTAATATTTTTACTTTCTCTAGAAAGTTTGTATAATATAAAAAAACTGGCCAAGTGCGTGTCGGGCCACGCACAATGTTGAGGTAGGGTTAGGTAGCAATGCCGCGGCAGCAATGCTGCGGAGCTAGGAATGTAATCTCATAAAAACCTGTAGAGAATATATGGGAACCAGTAGTGCTGCGGCAGCACTGCTGCGTGCAGCGGAATTCGGTATCATATCTTTAGTCTTACTATTTAGTCGGGCAGCAGTACACCATCTCCTCGAAGAGCTGAACTCGGACGTCATTTTATTCGTATTTTTCTCAGCGAATTCTTTCATTCGATAGACATATCATTTTGGCGAATAAAAAAAACACAGTCTGTAATCTTTGGGAGTCCACCTATAGGATTCAATATAGGATTTAGAGTGACGTCATTTTATTTTTGTATGTTTTCCAGCAAATTCTTTAATTTGATGCACATATCATGGTAGTGCACAGAAAATAACTAGTCCGCTGTATTGGGCAGTCCGCCATATTGGATGTAGAATGACGTCAATTAACAAAACATGAAACTAAAATAAATTAACCATGCATTATCATCCAAACTAAACATGTATGCAAAATTTCAGCTCAATCAGTTGAGGATAACTAACTGCTTTAAAATTGAGTTGCAAGATTTGACCCTAAGAAACATACAAACATTGGAAGTTAAATAAAAGATTTTAAAATGGGCCCAAATTGGACGATGGTAGCCGAAGGTTTTATTTTCCAAGCATATAGTTATGTGCCAAGTTCGTACAAAAATGGTCATAGTTCCCTATCCATCTATTAGTTCCGGGCAGTGCAACCCTAAGATATATAAGACCGTCCTGTGGGTCGCCTGCGTAAACCAAGAGTACCACGAATGAAACTAGGCCTACAATAACTACTAACTAAAATATAAGCGTAAGTGGCATGTCTGGATTGGTCTTTTGCCGATCAATCCTCTCTGCTTATCCCGCAAAGGAAAATGTAAACCTATAGTAGTAATGCATCTAGTTGTGTTGTGTAACTTTTTATAAAAAATGTTTATAGTACAGTATACAGTTTACAATAACATTAAAAAGTTAGTGTAATGTCATTTTCTATGGATTGACACGACATTTTTACTAATCCAAGTGCATCTTATAAATTGGTCGACTATTACTCGTTAACTTGTTAAGCCTACTTAGCTGTGATAATTTTCCTTTTAACTTCATTATATATACTACTATCTTGAATACTTGTCATTACTAAAAACAGCGGTATAGTTGCTAGTGGAGGAGTGGGTGGGAGGGTGGCACTAATAAAAAAATACTATTTTAAAGCTAAATATTTCGCAAACGGTCCCCTAAATACCTCCTATATTTTTCAAAGAGTTATCCAACGACAACCCATACGATGGAAGAGACGGGTAAAAAAAATCACCTGCATGGGATTCCCCTAAAATAAAAATTTTCTGTTTTTCAAATAAATTATTACTATTTTTGTGAACAAAAGACACAGATTTCGTAAAATTATACGATTATATTATATTATATTATTATTAATCACACCTAGATAAAAAAAATATCTTGCTATTTTGTCACGCCATTTATATACGTCATTAAATAAGTTGTCGCAACGCGAACCGATTGAACATGATCGAAGTTACGAATTGGCGGTACATGGAAAAACTTTTGTAAGTTTATTTGTACTGTCGGATGTTATTAAATAACTATACTTTGTAATAAATAAATAAATGTATAATGCTAGAAGTGGCAATATTTTATGTTTGCGAAAAAGGGGAATACAACCATGCTCCGTATAAATACCTTACACATTTTTTCTGCCCGCGGAAAGCTCTAATGAAATCGACAGCATTACCCTAAATTATTAAGCCGTAACGGAGGATCGAAGAAGCATATCCATGGTACGCTGAGAGTGCGGCCTCTATGTTAGCTACTCTTCTTAAGCGATAGAGAACATAGATAAATTTATCTAACTTTCTACATAGGTTATCAATGTGTCTTCCAATTACAGAGCCTTGTAGATTGTTACACCTAAAAAGTTAGTATGGTCAACTTCTTCGATGACATGTCTGAAATCTTATTATTTTAGTTTTTCCGATGTTAATTTGTAAATTATTATGCCTTAAATAATCTATTATTTTTTCTAAGGTCCTGTTTATTTCGTGTTCGTAATCAAAAGTTTTATTGTTATTTTAAATATTAATGGTAATGCCATTAGCATACAGCACACATTTGTATGTAGTTATGTTGGAAAGATCGTTTATCTAGATTAAATAGAGGTCCTAGTATACTTCCTTGCACTCCGTATTTATTTTCGCAATATCGTGATCTATAATTTTTTTTACGAAGTCCAGAGTAGCTTGATACCTCAACACACTGTTTTCGTTGATTTAAATAATCTTCTATTAACTTTAGTGCATTACCTCGTATACCATATCTGATGAAATTGTGTAACAATAATTCGCGGTTAGCAAAGCCAAATGCCTTAGACATATCAATGAAAATGTATGTTATAGGTATTTTGTTGTTTTGGCATGTACTTACATAACTTTTACTAAGTTGAAACATGCTTTGCATATTTTTTGTAAACCCATATTGCTTTAATATTATAAGAATGGATTTGATATGAAGTGAAACTCTTCACGCTACCTATCTAAAAGGACAGAGCAACGTGTGCCCAGGCAGCTTATATGATAGAAGAAATACTTCTATCATTCCATCTTTCTCCTTAGAGGTGACATTGCTTCTGTAGCCTTCTTTGTTTAAAGTTAGATGCAGGTGTCCTCGGACTGCAGTAGCCACTTGACTTACTATCAGGTAAACTGTAAGTTCGTTTGTCACTTCAGTTTAAAAAAAATATTAACAGATATCAGTAAATACAATGTTCATATCTGATATGGAGGAGAATCGAAAAAGTGCTATTGTTATCTCGTAATTAAAAAATAGAATTGTAATAACTTCCAATCTTTTATTGTAGGATTCAAAGCCGTTCAGTTGGGATCACGAGAGTTCTCCTGAACGGGAGGCGTCGCCCCCCATGCCGACAATACCACCCCCTCCGCCGCCACTAGTCTCCGACGATGACTTAGTCCCTTGGCCAGAAGACGCTCAAGAGTTCTTGGCGGAGAACCATTTAGAAGGTCTTGGAGTAGAGGATGACAACAAAGAGCCATACGCTATAGCGTTATTCGACTATTTTACCGATCACGAAGAGGATTTATGTTTTTCGGTGAGTTGTTTTTTTGTTTGTTTTTTTACTGTGTAGTGCATGTGAAAATTACGTAATCCATTATGTAGCATATTTGTATAATTTATTTAAGTAATCAGAAGATAAGTATAGTTTTAATGTCCCAATTCTACTTATGTATAAAGTTTTTAGTATGGCATTGAAGATGAAGAAGCAAGCTTGAGCAAAATTTTTAATTTGTATTGTGTTGCTTATTCTTATTCATGTGGGACCATTTTTTATATTAATGATATTAGCTGTTCCCCGCGACTTCGCCCGCGTGTTACTTAGGGTTTTTTTTTTTGCGCGGAACCCTAATTCTTTTTCTAAAATAAAAGTAGCCTACGTTACTCCTTATCACATCAGCTATCTGATAGTGAAAGTCCCATCAAAATCGGTCCAGCCGTTTCGGAGATTAGCCGGAACAAACAGACAAAAATTTTAAAAATTGTGTTTTTGTTATAAGTACCGTATATACTTTCATATTATGCATTTAGTAAAAACCTGTTATTTTGACATTACAAACAGACACTTCAATTTTATTTATTTGTATAGATTAAAAAAACAATAAGCATTCTGTTTTTGCAGCTTTGTAGCCACATTTACCAAAAGCTTACTAATACAGAGGCCCCTAACTTGAATATTGGTATTATTTATTGAAGTTTGTTTCTTGGTTTTTTGATGATTTTTTGTTGATTATATAAAAGCTTTAGGAAAATAAGGTATCATACTCTTGGAGCTCCACTGCCTTTTTCCAACTTCTTATAAACAACACGTAGGAGCGTGTTTTCATTATTTTGCCTTTATTGTTCACAAATATCGCATCGCTTCATTTAGAGCAAATTATTTTTAGATTTGAAATAAATGTTATGTATTGATTAATATATACACACGCTTATTTTTAGACGTCATACAATGGCAGATGTAGTAGTAAGACATGGGGTGGTAGTAGTGAGACTTTTAGGTTTGCGGCTGCATAATTAATACTTTGGGCAGTGAATTCAAATCATTTTTATTGTAAAACGATTGATTTAATAAATGCGCGTTGGTAAGGAATATTCGTGAAAATTATTATTCTGTTTTGCTTCTTAATTCAAAACTTTTGAAGGTGGTAAATGGAGGACGACCGTACTCGTAATAATAAAACCGTTTATTTCCAATCACAATGGTTCTTATACTTTGACATACTCAGTTTAATATTTTATTGCTATTACATAACTTTTGTATATTATATTTCATCATTGTGAAGAAGTGGAACCCGTGTTTTTTTATATATTAAGGGCGATAAACGAGCACACAGCCCACCTGTTGGTAATCGAATGCTGTGGCCCATAGACATCTATATCTATTCTCGATTAAGAATCAAAATGCAGATGCATTGTCACCCTAAAGGACTAGGATGGAATGTCTCGTTTCTAGTAAAAAGGTTCTCGAGTTTTCTACACTCACCATACGAAATACAGCAGCATTAAACTGTTATTTGACGCTGATACTCTGTGAAAGCGTGGTCCTTCCGCGGTCGAGTCGATCTATCGTACTAAAACTATCATATAGATGCAGCATGGCTCTTCTTTTCTTATACTTTGTTTCTTATTTTCTTTTTAAAAACGTTATCCCCACATTAGGATTTTTTCCTACATCGTGGAGGCAGTTTACAATATAAAAATAAAGTTTACATAAATTGCACGAGGACAAACATCCAAATAAGATCTTATTGCAAAACGTACATCATTAATAAACATATTGTCGCGAAAGAAGTCCGTTAGTTAGTTCAAATTCCACATATTGTAGTTTGCATATTTTCTGTAGGACTTTTTTCTTGCAACCTACTTAAATACTAAATAAATATTTAGATTCACACAAATAGTCACCTACTTACTATATATTTGTAAAATTTATTTTCGAACATAAAAATGGATCTCGTAATTTGCCAGAAACCGGTAGTGCGCCCCATCTCGTGGCTGACGTAAGAGGCCACAAAAACACAAACAAAACCGTAAATAATAAATCGGGGATTTTCCAATAGCATTCTACTTGAGAGCCAAAGTAGCTTAAGTGCTCGACGTTAATTTCATAGTACCTAAGTGAACTATAGTTAGTTACGATTGTGAGTGCTGATTTACCACGTGTTCGCCGGTGAATCAAATCATCCCGAGGAAAGGTGCATGTCTGAGAAATTAAAGAAAATTCAAGAGGTGAAATCCGCCAACACTTTTTGGACAGCTTAAACCCTCTCAGAAATGATAGAAGGCCAGTGTCCAGCTGTGGGACGTATTAAAATCTTTAAATTAACATTTTCTATCTTATTTAGGACGCAGAGCTTCTTCATCTTATCGTAAGATTTAATATATTGGCTTAGTGACCTTGAAAATGTCCTAAAGTTGCTATAGATACCGGTTTGTTCTTTTACTGACATAAATACGGTCTTTTGAAAGAACATTAGAAACCGTTTGTCGTTCACTAAGATTCTAGACACTAAATGCATGTTTGAAAATAATAATACAACGAAAATTTACATCTGTTATTCGTTTTTTTTTACTATGCATCTATTCTTTATGACTACTACGTGGCTTAGTTTTTCTGGCCGGCTGTTTTTTTGTTGTATTATTATATTGTTCACCGGATTTGGATGTGTTGCGAGCTGTATTTAACACTACATCAGAAGCTAAATCTGCTATTAATTATTCATAAAATAAGCTTAACATTAGTAATAATATAATAAACATCGTTTGTTTCTATATCTAGTGAACGCTTCTGTATTTTCGCTTGAAATTATAAATTTAACTTGCTTATTAGCTTGTAATGTCTACTAGCTTTCAACCACGTAGAAACGAAAATACTTACATAATGATTTCTTGTAATTACGCTAATACTACACATTGAATAAAACTAATCCCATCAGAAACGTAAATATGAAGAGGGGACGGCCAAGTTCGGCGATGTTCGGGGGGGCTTCCTCGATGAAAGAGTTGAAAACTGATCGGTTGCCAAGCTCCTTAGCAGTTCCAAGAACGTTGTACATTTCTATAGAAACTATGACTTAACAATTTTAAGCAACCCGAACGCCGTTTGTATCGAACTTGGCCCTCGATTCATATTTATGGTTTAGATGGGATATCAATTTTATCAAATATTTTTAAAGAAAAAGTTTTATCCTTTTAGTACTCAAAACAAGCTTCCTTGAGGTGGAGCGAGCTCAAAGAGATGGGCATAAACGGTTCGGTTTAGTCGTCTTCAAAAAGAAACAAACAATTTAATACATTATCGCAATCATAGTAATGTGTAACAATTCCGTTTAATGTTATGGCAACACTAGCTAAAACAAAATGTCAATGTTTTTTATGGCTGGCTTTACGGCTCTGGGTTCTAGCCCTTCTGAGAATGTCACTGTATGACAAAGGCCCTGGAGCCATGCCAGAAACATACATTTATAGTATGCAAATACATGTTAGAGATACAATAATCTAAAAACTATCAATTATGTAGGTAGGGCACGTTATGTTGAGAATGTATTAAGCTAACATCAAACTTTTTCCAAGTGACATAAGACATAACCTAAAAAGGTTCAAATCTAAATATCTTTTTTTTGACGCCTTCTCAGGACAAAATTCTTTGACAGAGTTATTAAGGGAGTGACGCTTAACATTTTAAGATATTTTTGATATATAGACGCTACCAATCATTCTCAACTAATTTTATGTATGAAATTCTGCCATTGTTCTTTCATCCAAATCTGTTAAACCCCTTAAGCATTTTTGAGTAACAAACATCCAAATATCTTCACAAACTTTCGTTCGCATATATAATTTTAGTACCGTACAGATAAGTGTAGATGATATCAATATAAGAGTATATTGATAGAGCAAAGCTAAAACATATTATGGCTGCACCAAAATAGGGGAAAGATCTACACTGAAACACCATACCACTGAATACTACCTTGAAATAGCAGCTTAATTCTGCTGTTTCCAATGGTGAGTGTAGAGAACTCGTATGTCACACTTGCTTCTTTAAAAATGTTAGGTTTTAGAATGAACAACACGAATATTGTTTTGTTTTGATCAAAATGTTCTCATGGATGGGAGCCAAGTGACTGTCTATTTATAGATGATTTATGTGGGCATAAAATTTCTTCCGTCGCATAGTGGCGTTGCGCGTCTTCAGTCACCTTCAAGTTCACGGTCGTTTCTCAATTGTATCTTAAAGTATGTAATAAATGCAATGTCGATCGGCGGTCTCAGTTGTCGCTTGACGAGGCTGCACCTAACTTAGAGTTGGAATTCAAGCAGAATATAAGGTCTAACTAATGCATTATATTACGTCTGTGCTGTTAACAATTTCCGAAAGATTTTTTTATTCTTTTTTCCTAAGCCCGTACCTAAACCTGTAGCTGTATTCCTTATATATTTTATCCATGCGATATCTTAAGGCTAGTCACTAGTCTTAGGGAACCTATGGCATACGTAAAAGGCTCGTAACAGAAAAATATATGCTTAAGTTAATGGTAAAAAGTCATTATTATAATTCCACTAATTAAATTCTATTATAAAATGATTACCTTAATTACTACTAGCTAATAAAGTTTCAAAATGTTGGTATTATTGCCTAAATGTTTGCGTTTTTTGCTGTCCCGACTTCATCGCAGTTTTAAGAATATTTAACTTTAAGAATAATATCACCTAAACTATAAAAAGAATAGCCATATCCATTCTAAGCATTTCCATAAAACATCACAATATCTTCATCTGCGTAGGGTATGTAGGTGTTGCATAATATATTATGTCTGTTCAAACAGAGACTTATCAAGGGCATCAGTTTGTTTTACACGACGAACTTTCTTCTGGCGTGTGAGACATTTAGGTACCGATAGCTCCACTGTCTGTAAAGTTTGTAGGATTCAGCTTGGAGTTGCAAATTATCAAGTTTTTAATTTATCAAATATTGAACTTGACACACTTTATTTTATAGTTTAGGAACTGGTTAAAGATCAAAGTTCAATTTCC